TTGTCAACACGAATATTTCAAAACATCAGTAAATATTTAAAGTATTCTAAAAACTTCATGATTTATTTATTTTATTCATTTATTTAAGTTCAGGTACTGTTGGCAGATAGGCAATTACAGGAATGGGGCATAAAACTAATTATTGTTTACATGAAATATCAAGGCGCATCTTATACAAAAGATCTAAAAACCACAATGTGTCAATGCATTTAAACAGTGAACAAAATGTGACATATTAACTATCATGCCAAGCATAAAAAAGCAATGTATAGGCGAAAAAAATACAAAATTTTCCATCACAATATTTTGCTCCACCACCCACATTATCCATACATCATTCACTGCAGAACATTAAGCATCACATTACTGAATTTCGCATGTCACACGAAATTTGTGTGACTCGGGTACATTCAATGAAATTATAAAAAAAGGTAGCATTCACGAAGATTTACTTAGAAATATTCTTTAGTTTTGAATTCACACTTTTTAGTTTCACAATTACGTATTTTATGATTCTAGGAAAATAAGGGAATGCGTATGTGTTCACACGAGATTTCGGGATTTCAAAGTTGCTGCGGTAGCCACTTCGTAGGTTCTGGACAGGTCGCGGAACAAGGTACTGCGCTCCATCAAAGTTAAATGTATTTTGAGAAAGCAAAAACAAGAACTTTAGTTTGGGTATACGATGGTGTTCCAAAAGGGTGGGTAAGTGTAGCTGTAGTAGCATCTCTATTACAGAATTAGTTCGAGAATATCTTGAAAGAATAAATGTTGCCGCTCTTCTTTGTACTCGCTCAACTTGATTGATTGTTATGTGAGGTTTCACGTCCCAAAACCACCATCTGATAGTGAGAGACGCCGTAGTGGAGAGCTGCGGAAATTTCGACCACCTGGGGTTCTTTATTGTGCACCCAAATCTGAGCACATGGGCCTACAGAGTTTTCGCTTTCATCGAAAATGCAGCCATTGCAGCCGGAATTCGATCCCACGATCTGCGGGTCAGCAACTCACTCAACTTTTGTTGATTAGTCTTTTCTGATAAGGGTTCTCTATGATACTTGCATATTCTAATGTAGGTCTTACTATAGCTAAATAGACTGTTACCTTTACTGGGTCTTGATGCAAAAATCAGCGTGAATAATCAGACAAGCTGTAATAAAAGCAACACGAAAACCAAAACTCAAGGACTATTCCTCTTGAAAACAATCTAGCTCTTACTGCCCATGACATCAAGGTTGTAGCAATACTTGATGGTGTAGGCGGCGTCGTCCACACAATGAACTCCAACTTCTTCGCCATAGGTGCGCTGTAGCTCCATGACTCCTTGTTTCCGACGGTTGAGGTGGAATTCAGGGTGGATGTTTCTCGGTAGATCTTACATGCATCTTCGGAGGAAGTTGACGTCATTTCTTCTCATTACGGTGAAGCGTAGTGGAGCAGTCTCCTGAAGCCACGGCCATTTTCAGTGGTGGTGAGCCTGCAGTTTTGTGATGATAAATGTGCCTTTATGCTTCATTCGTTCTGCTTTAACACGCAACCATAATGCTTAAGAAGATTACCTTCAGTATTATAGGTGTTGATATTGTCATTTTTCAAAATTTTCTACAACACAAGGACACACGGCTGAACATAGCTAAACAAGTAACACGCAACCACAGAAAGCGATCACCTGTCAGCGGAAGCTTGAGAGAGAGTGCCTTTCATGCGCCCAGCCGATTCACAATGAGAATAGAAGGGAGAGAGAATTACCACTCACTCACGACATGTTCGGTTAATATTCCACTGGGGGAGAAGAGGAGAGGAGCGTATCACTCTACCCATGAGTTCTGCCCATCTTTTCCGCTCCCTCTTCACTTGCGCGCTGAGGAGGAACTAATAGGAGGAGGAGGTCACGGTGTCTCTCTATTGGCTATTAGGAATCACGCTACGAAATTCCACGCACCTGTGGCCAACAACAACATAAACCATGATCTTTGGGAGCTCGTTGGGAACTCGTCTGAGCCGGCGAACCTGGCACCCGGCTTTAAGCGCGAGACAGACGTGTGATTTTCCGTGTGATGCGGTCTGCGGTGTGGCATAGTGCGGCGTGCCGCAAGCGACGTTTTGGGACACACGGGGGCGAAGAAGCTTTCAGCGGCACGCTCCAACACGACGCGGCTCCTCGGCATGCGTGGTCGGACGACTTTGTATCGTCCTAATGAAGCTCAAAACAAACAACATTACACAGCCACGCGTCGTTTCATAAAAAATAATGAAGAAAACGTCCTCGGGAATGACGAGCACGTCGCAACAGTGGAAACAGCTGAGTATTCATGACTCCGACAGGTAGGCCTAGCATGGCGGTTGCCGGTAGGAGCCTGCGCCGTTCACACGCGAGCTCGTCATCGAGTGCTTGTTTTTTGACAACACAACGCTTTGCACTCGTATGTAATGCGTTTGCATACGCCATTACTTTCTCTAGGCCATCGATGTCAAGAGCAAAGGTGAAAGCGAAGCAAGCCAGCGCAGATATGCTGGTAGCCGCGTTTACCTGCCAATTGACCTTTCATCGCTGCTCGCAATCTCCAGTCTCGCTAACGGTTTCAAAACGGGCATTGTCGTGCCGAAATGGCAAACTTCAAACATCAATTTATTCAATCCGGAATAATATCATGTCATCAAAGAAATGTTCTCGGTGTTGGTCACGCCGCCGCAGTCGGAAATGTCAGCAAATCCACACTCGCACCGCTCCATCGACTCGCTTGAACTGGCTTGGATCATGGGTGCTGGGAGCGACTACAGGGAGATGGCGCCACTCGCGGCTTGACGTCACTCGTCTGCTCGCGTTCTGATCGGCTGCTGCAATGCGGCAGTGCGATGCGGCGGCGAATATATGTGGCTGGTTTGATGCTTACCACGCCAGCTATGTGGCGGTGCGATGCGATGATACGTCACGAAACGTCACCACTCTGGCTGTCGCATCGTCGCACCGCACGCTGCACTGCACGGAAAATCGCACGTTCGCCTCGCGCTTTTGACGTGAGATGTTTTTTGTGTCTCAAGTGGTCGTAAGGTGACGTAAACAAAACGGCTAACATGGTGGCTACTTCAAGCCGTGTGTTGCCAGCTTTGCCGCACTTCCGCAAGAGAACCATGTGGCATGCACTGTTGCGCTGCTGCCCGCGTCCGTTTATGATGTGTGCAAGGTGTATTTTCAACTGCATTCGCGCTATTGTACAGCTGCTGCAGCTTCGTTCTTGTTGTAAGTTCCGTGCCTGCCTTCGTGCATTTGTATTGACCACTGAGAGTGTGCTGCTGCCGTCTGCAGTGATTACACTAAAGACATTCATGGGCGTACTTAGAATTCATGTTGGCTCTATGAATCAAGGAAGAGGGGCGCAGTACTCGGGATATTAGGTGCACTGCGTGATAGGATGAGTGTACTGTGCCATTGATTATTCAAGCACGGAGGCCAATTCGTGAGTATTCCAACTTGATCGATTCCATAGGGGCTGATTCAGATAGGCGACTTGAGCAAAATTTTCATTTGGCGAAATTTTACCGACTTTTTGATCACGGAGCATGTTTTTTGTTGTTTTTTCACCCTCACTTTTGCGGGTGCTATGGCGAAAAATATTTCAGGCAGATCGTATTTCACCGCTCCCGTGCTACAAGCGCATTTTCCCCATTCTTAAGGAAGGCGTCGAAAATTGGTGTTATTGCGGAAAGTGGCCTTTGCTTTGAAAGAGGGACGATGAAAAAGTCCGGTTATTGTAGCTATCAAAGTTTTCTAAGTTTACTATGTCCCGTTCTCCCAGCTGTATGTAATGCATGTCTTGGACAAATTTGACTTGGTGCTGCGGCAGTTCTAATATCAGCTGTCCTTGTGGGGGTGGGGTCACCGTGGTGTAATGAAACAATTGTGCCTCAGCTCGCCGATTGTTGCGTGCGTCTATGCACGATTGAGAAAAATGCGAAGGACGGTTTTTCCGCTTTTTTGTTTGCGTTGAAAAAAAAAGCGATGTCATACGGTGTACCACGGTATGCTAGATCTAGTCTTCTTAGTACAATATCCTGAAAACTGCTCGTGTATTCTGTTCTCGACTTTACCAGGTCCTTGCAATAAATCAGCTCTAACTGCACTTCTATTGTGAGATGATAATTTTTAATGAGTTGCAGTTCCGAATACGGGTTTCATACTAAGCATAAATGAAAGTACCCTTTACCGACTTCGCTAACTATTACGTTATGGCTTGGAGATTGAAAGTTACTTAGATTCCAGAGGGGATGACACAATCCAGCAAGGAAGCGTGCTAGCCAAGGACGACATAGTTAGCTGTAAGTGGAATGCGGATGATGTTTTTACTTCACACGTACGCCTGGGTAGGTTGCTGTTGCAAGGGAGCACAAATTGCTTACTAAAGAAGATAAGGAGACGTTGATGAATTGAAGGGGAGCTTTTCTCCTTTATGAAAAAGCACTGGCTAATTTACGATATTATGTTAGGGCTAGTACTGTTGGCGCTAGTCACGGCAAACGCGTTTGAGTTGTTGTAGCTAGATTATTTCTCGTTAGTATATTGGTGGTGGTTATGACCAGTTTTTATCCGAAACAGTAGTTGTCAGTATACTTTATGTGTCACAATGAAACCCGATTCCTTGGTTTTAAAGGTGTGGATTTTCTGGATTGCTTGACGTGTAGCAGTAACGCTGTTATACGCGCTGGAAAGCTTACTCGAGTGCACAGCAAAGCTCTTGAAAAAACGCTTTTCATCACGTATTGATGGCCTAGGAACCAACTGTGGGATATCACTGAAATGTGAAGTATTTTCATTTACTTACCTTTCTTGTTGAATGCGTAGGTGTGTGTACCGCTGTAGCCGGTGAGAGATAACGGCGCCGTAGTGATGCAGTAGGAACAAGAGGTCCAGGTATGGTCAGGCCTAGCAGCGGTGCATACGGACTCGCCGTAGACAAGGCAGCCGCCTTTTTTAATTTCCAAAGCACAAATGTACCCGCTAATTATTTCAAAATATTACTTTAATAAAGTCAGTTATTTTATAGCCACGTGGTGATCGATCGGTACACGTTCAGTTTTTCATGTGCGCCACCTAACAGATGGCAGGAATCCAGCAGCTTTGGGTCGCGACAGGAAGCCATTGACCACTCGTTATGTTTACTATGTCACTCTACTGTTTTTAAAACTGTATGTGTGAACACAAACCCAGGCTTCTAGGTCGTTCGACTGAGGGTTTTTTTTTTGTTCTCTGTCCAAGCGCAAATGTTTGAAGACACAGATGTAATCAATTTAGTTTTGTTTCTTCCTTGCGAGTGTCGCATAGAATACCATTGTAGCAAAGCAAGTTTTTCTTAACGACAGCTACAATGTAAGAATGCTGTTCCTGCGTAACTACGAGACAATGGAGCGCGTCTGTGCGCATAAATCGGTGCTAGGGCAGAGACACCCATAAAAGTTTCTAAATGTACAAATATCGAAATATACGTGCAGCAAGCCTAAAAGTACAAGTACTGAGAATTATCTATGGAAGGCATAACGAGATATTACGAAGATAACATGGCGAAAAATCTGAAGAATTATCTCAGAATACAATTACAGGGATTAACATATACAGAAATACAGAAACTAAAACATTTTTCGGTTACACTGGTGCTAATGTTCCGCATGCACTTGTAAATTGATTAAGTGAATCGTAAAATTGTCAAATAATGTACTGGAGATAATTCAAATGCAAATCAGCCATATCGCTCGACTCACAAACAAACAACACAGATGAGAGGTAAAGTATGCCCTAATTTCACACACATGATTGATCTGTTTTGCTAACAAGGTTTACACTAATTAAACCAAAGTAACAGCAGCTTCTAAAATGTACTGCGAGTTGACAGAGCATCGGTTCAGTTTCAATTCAAGACGGGCGATATAAAAATTCTGTCTAATATTGTAGGTGAACACAACTTCGTGTCATAACTACTAAAACCGAAGTTGTCCCGAAAAGGAAATTGATCGTGCTTCTCTGGCCTTGAGCGAGATCCAAGATCGTCAGCACTGCCTCCTAGATTCTGTCTTCAGTTGCGTAAAACACTTAACGACATAGGACATTCTGTGCGTGTGAGAGATCTTCGCTGATCTCCAAGTGTCGCGGACTGACGGGCCGCTTTTGACTAGCCAAGCGCATTCAAGCTTTTATTTCGATAATATATACACATCGGCTCAGTTCTGACAGAAGAGTGCTGAGATAACTATGCCACCGCAGTATTCAGATACATTCTTTATAAAGAAAAAGTATTTCACTACTGCATTATATACATTTTGCAAATGTATCTCGATACAGGAACTCAAAAGTATCTGTGAGATGCTACTGCATCACGATACTGTCGAGCCCTGTACTAGAAATCTTGCGAAGGGTACAAACTACTACCCCAGTCATTCAGTGTAGTCAGACGGCAGCAGTTTTCTTCTGTTATAAGCAATCTTACAATCTGGAGAAAAAAAATTCTTCCGTCGATGTTTTCCTATGGAACTCGGCGTTACTCCAATCACACCACCGAAAACAGCACACACAACCTGCCTCCCCTCCGGAGATGGAAACTCTGCAAGCCGGCGTTGACAAAAAAAGCACATGCCAGGAAAAAAAAAACACCTTTCCAAGAAATCACACTGCGCCTATTTCTAGGTGTGTTTCAACGAGAGCAAAGCTGGTGGACCACAATTTTCGGTACTTAAACAATTGTCTGAACTCTCTTCCTTGTGTGTTTATGTATCAACTTGTGGCAGTTGACGATAAAACACAACTGTCAGTGTTCACAAAACAAGAGCTTAAGTGTGCGCTACATATGGTTTAAGTAGTTCTGAATATGATTGTAAGCTGAAACAAAGAAGCCAGCAGAAGAATGTGGGGAATAGGTAAATATAACTCCCTTCTGAGAAACCAGGACATAGTCTTGCTTGGTCTCTCGGATAGGCAGTATACTCTTGTTTAGATGATGTGGTTTTCTAGCAAAGATAGTCATAATTAGGTTCACACTATCGCGATGCTAGGCGCTTTAGCAGAGTGTTAACACCGTGCTAAAGAATCAACTTGTCAGCCCTGCAATGTGCGTATTGATCAGTAGATAGGCGTAAAACGTCCATCTTTGCAGCGATACCGCAGATTAGGTTGCTCGCTCACTCAAAGCATGCCGAGCATCTCCACATTTGAGCGTAAGCTCCTACAAGGATGTGCATTGGTCCTCGTTTATCACCGCAGGCTGGGGTTCCGAGATGGTCATCAAGGTGCTTTGTTGAACAGCTTCATTTGTTTTTCCATTCCAGGTGGAAGAGCGACCAGTGATCCAGAGTCCCACGTTGAATAGGGACGAGGTCAGCAATATCCCGGCCATGAGTTGGAAAAGGCCGTCGTAAGAGCCCAGTCCATCGCGGAAAACACCTAAAATATGTAAAAAAAACAACTGATCCAACGATTGCTAAAATAAGAAAAAAAGCATGGCTGATTCCATCGTCATAGGAATCAGTATAACACGAAAGCAAAAAAGGCCTTCACAGAAGTAGTGCTTATTGTTGAGTGACTATGAGAGTTTGTACAGCGTCTAATGGTGTTTTGCAGCTATTGCACCATTTGACAAGGATTCAGTCACGTGTGGCCTAGTGCCACAACATCATGACGACTAACGTCCATGGCAATGATTTAATCATCGTGGTAGATGAAGTTTTTAACCCATACCTGGACACAGCGTAGCATGACTCACAGCAGACACGGTTTGAACACTTGTGCTTCATACGAATTTTTTCAAAAAGTCGTCAATTAAGGAGAGAAACGGCTTGCTGTGCACTCTTGAATAATAGCGTAAGGCAGAGGCTGCTGTGCCGCGCGGCACACGAGTGACCTCCACACAGAAACGGATGCTGTGTCGCTCATAAGTGACGTCATGCACTTTTTTTGGTTGGGCGCTTCGTTTGAATGATTCAAATCAGACATGACTTTACCGAGTCGGCATGCGACGACGCGACTTTCAGTGAGCCTCTTCACTGACTTCACACCAGCCGCACTTGCTGTAGTTGCACTGCTGGAAGTCCTGTCTACAATCCCTTTGATATTGGATGTTTGATGGTCTTCACGGGATTGGCTATATTTATTGTGATAAGCTGTTTTGCGAATTAATAGTCTTCATTGCGCAGGGGTACACGCTGAATTCTAATGCAGCTGGCTGCATCGGTTTGCCCGGCCCACTCGTCAAGAATGTTAATTTGCACAGTTTGTCAGAGCTGTGATGACAAAGACGCACTGCACCGCAGCTACGCTGGATATGCAACGCAAAGCTTTTTAAGTTGCTCTGCGTACTAACACCACTTTACGAGATAATGTGCAGGAAGCTTCAAAATACTGGCGTGTCACCGTAATGCTCTAGGCAATCAGCACTTGGCGAACGATGACCACGGGCAACTGCCTACTGCATTAGCCAACCTATCTACGAAACAGTGCCAAACAATTTGTCTGCCTAGCTGAATAACACGCATGACCTGTCACAAAAAGGCAGCATTTGCGTGGGAATGGGCGAGAACGGCCGTACGTGTTCGCAATTAGTTAAAGAACCTACAATGCAGGAGCTTTGGCGTTCAAAGATCACAGGCTTCATAAAAACACTTTGCAGCCACACTGGGGTTTCACGTGCGTCCGGACATTAACACGTGAACTGTGAAAAAAAAATATTTATTTGACCGTCGACCTTGGGTTTTGTGACAATCGAAGTGACGTGCTCGGCAACAAGGACAATTTCACCTTCGATTCGACAACACCATATTATGACATTGTAATCTAAAAAAATGTAGTGCGTCTAAAAGCAATAACGCGAGCTTCATACTGGGAAACATTATGGTGCAAACACCCAGATGAAGCTTCAACCTCAAACCTCCAGGATCAAATGTGAGCCATCAAGGAAGACTTTGAGGCAGTGAGGAGACAAGGTCTCCCGTCATCTTCGAGGGTTTTTTTGGTTCAAGCCATGAATGGGCCGGTGTTTTCAATTAAGCTGTTGACACCACCAAACATCGCAGATAGCACATTTGCTACTGTTACTTTGCGCCGCCACAGCGCCCCGCGGAGCGCTCTGGATTTAAAATGCTTGCGATATGTGTTTTAATAATGGATACGGGTTATCGGACTCGTCAAACACTTGTTCAGTAACATTTCTGTAGGGTTAACACAATCATCATCATCACCACATCATCATCATCATCACTGTCATCATCATCACTATTGTCATTATCATCAGCCTGACTACGTCAACTGCAGGACAAAGACCTCTCCCATGTTCCGCAAGTCATCTAGGTCCTGTGATTGCTGCTGCGTCCTTTTAAGTTGCACAAAAATCTGGGCACACAGCGTCGAGCATTTCGCCTGAATTGAAAAGCGTCCACCTCGGCTGGAGTTCGACCCCTTGACCCTCGGGTCAGCAGTTTAGCTCCATAGCAACTTTACCGCAGTAGCATGCCATCTTTAGCATCAATATTTATGATATGTTATGTTTAAATTTGTATAACTAGTGATAGGTGCCTATTGCAGAACTACACAGTGCGCTGGACTTGTATGTTTGAGACACTGTTTGATGAATGTAGCGCGAATAATTGCTATTTGATGCCACACGTTTGGGAAACGTTTATATTTGCAACAAGATGTCAGTACCAGTACAGAGCTAGAGCAGTGCAGGTTGTTCTGCTCGATTATTTTGGGAAAGAATGTGAAGCTATGTAACCTACTCGCAACAACATATGGAATGCAAACCAAATTTTGTATTGGTTTTAGTAGGAACTTCTACGACTTCGAAAGCCAACTACTTTGAATATTTCCTTCTTCGAATGAAGTATAACCCTCCATACTTACCCACAACGGGCGGCCGAGCGAAGCCTCCCAATGCAGCTATGAATGCCAGGACGCCGTACGCCATCGGAAGGTGTTTAGTCCCTAGTTCCTTGGAAAGAGTTTCCGACGTTCCAACGATGATGT